AAAAAAAATGTAACCTTCAGGCTGGAACGTGTTTCTTTTGTTTGTTGATGGTGGAATAGAGGTTGCTGGGATCAGTGGAAACGCCAGCAGAAGAGGAAGGAAATTTCACAGTGCTGTAAGTCACAGTGTCATCTTCATCATTATCATTACAGACCTGGAATGAAATATGATGGAGCACAATTATTTTTTTTCTGACCTGTGACAGAAGTTTAAAATTCACGATCTTAATGTTAATATATTCTTTTGAGAACCTTACCTTGGCTTTACACTTGGACCTCCTGATAAAACTGACAGAGACATAGGAGACATCTTCAGCATCAGCCTGAACAGTGAAGACAACATATAGACTGCTCACTAATGCATATGCGGAGTCAGTTTGACAGGTATCAGTCCTTTTGGGGTTTTTCTTGTCCTATTTGTCTTTCATCCATTCTTATAAAGGATAAAAATACATTTCAAAGAATAAATGCAGTAGCTGTGAGAATAATGTCTGTTCACTTTGTTCTGACTGGCTGCTGGACTAGGTCATATCAGGGTTTACACTCAGTCTCTTAAATATGTTCAAGCTGTTCTCATTTTGGGACTTTAAATAAGGGAGTCTTCTAAAAGTAGCTACATACATTTTTTTGGCAGCTGCGTTCACTCGCCACCTTAGTCACTTCTTCCACCTGTGTTTTGCTTCCTAAAAAAAGATGAAAATACAAGATAAAAGTAAACAAACTTGAGTTTAAAATTTCAAATCCAAGGTTCTCAATTATACTTTCAACTATAGCTGTCATTTTTTTCTAACTCACCGTTAGGTTTATTCCATGTGTTGATGACTATAGCAAGTATTAGTACCAGAATGCCCACAAGAACAATGATAACCCGTTTCCAAATTTCTGGAAAGAAAAATTAAAACCACAATCACTGGTAATGTTGAGCTTTGGATGCTGTGAGCAATAAAAAGCTTTATGATGGAGCCACAGCTCGAGTCTACAGTCTACAGTTCAGACCTTAGGCTTAATAAAGGTGCGAGCGATGCAGTCAGTACCTGATAAAGTATTTCTTTCAGTTGTTCCAGTTGTTGATGTAGGTTGTCTTGATTGTGATACAGTAGTTGCATTTGTTGATTTTGATGTTGTGGGGATTGGTGTTGTTGTGTGGTCACCTTAAATAAAATAAATGTATTAAAAAAAAAACTTTAGTTCGGCTTTTATTGCTCAAATGTTGACTGTAACAACAGACAGGCGCTACCTGATGAAGTCCTTACTGTTCCATTTACTGATGTAGGTTCAATAATACTTGTATTTTTTGATGTGTGTGTTACTGTCTGTGTTGTTGTTACATTGTTGCCTGAAACAATAAAAAAAATGCAGACAATTAAATAAATACATGCAACAAACTGT